AAATGTAATGTGAAGGTAATGGCTTTATTTATTTATTCTTAAATTTCCCTTTAAGAAGGACTGAGCTATATATAGATATAAACAAGCACATTAACTTTGACAACACAAACTTCGATTGCACTTGATCTCAGCATTCCTCCTCTCATCTAGACACTTATCTATGATTATGAGTACTTAGATTATTATCTCTCTATGACAGTTCTCTGAACTGATTAAGAGAAATAGTCACTTTTCTTTCTCTAGTCTGCCCTGGCACTCTCCTATTAAAATTCTTTCTTTGTCCCCTCATGAGAAAAAAAGCACATGTAATCCAATGACAAAAGAGTCTTCTATTGTTTTACGCTCCAGATTAATGATTATCAACTTGGGGCCATAGTGCTTTTCTGGTCCCCAGGGATATTTGACAATGTTGGGAGACATTTTTGGTTATCACAATTAATATGACATTTTGTTATCATAAGTGATAAAAGGTGCTACTGGTATCTAGTCTATAGAAGCCATGGATATTGCTAAATATCCTATGATAAACAGATAGCTTCCCACAACAAAGAATTTATCTTGCCAACAATGTCAACACTGTGGAGGTTGAGAAATCTTGCTCTAGATCCTAGAAGGTAAATGGAGAAAATCTCCAACTCTTTCTCTCAGGTAGGAAGCTGCTCTTTTGATCTGATTGAGATTCCTTCTCTGTCTGGCATCTGTTAGAGTCTTCTTAGCTATAATTCTCTTTTGCCTATTTAAGATGACCATGTTCCTTGTAACACAAATTTTAATTCCACAAATGCTCATTCTTTAAAATCTTAATATTATAACAATTTATTTCTTTGTTCCAATAATACCATAATGTTCTGAGGTAGCAGTTAAAGGTGTACAATGGATTTATTTATTCATTTGACAAACATTTACTGTGTTCTTACTATATATAAATCATGCATTGTGCTAGGGACTAGGGATAAAATGGTGAGCAAGAACAGACAAGTAGTTCTTTTCAAGCGGCAACTTAGCACGTAGTGGAAAAGCCAGAGGATTCACAAAATAAGCACACTAGTAAAAACCTGAAAATTATGGATTATAGGTATAAAAATACATGTGAAATAGATACATGAGTGGGGGAGATTTGGAAAACCTCCTAATAGTTATGGGAGGAAGAGAAGGCTCCCTTTAAGGAAGGAATGACTAAACTAGCATTTGGAGAATGCATGTGTGTTGACTACAGGAAACTGAGAGGGAGCAAACTGGTTGAGGGAGCAGCACGTATAAAGAAAGGCCCTGGGGAAGGAAGAGAAAGTGGTGAGTATGAGGGACTCAGAGGAGGCCAGTAAACTTGAAGTAGATAAAGTGACAATGAAAATGATATAGCAGCTCTGCCAGAAAAAGACTAAGAAAAGAGTGTTCCTACCTTGATGCCAGTGTGTCACATGGCGATCCTTTTCTCTTATGGGAGTCTGGGTTAGCAGGGTCAGATGAACTGTCCCCAAGGCCACTCATGTTGAAAAACTTCACACCTAAAAAGGACAGAAAACGGTAAGAAATCTACCCTAACGAATTTTCCAACCATAAGGGAGGAAGAAGCTCCCTACGGTTAGAAAATATCTAAACACTGTAGTCTCTCAATGAATAGAGAAGCACAGCCATCATAAAAGCATCCACATCTAAACAAAGCACAGGAGTCATCAGCTATAGTGTTTCTACACTTTCTGTGTCTGTAAAATAAAATTAGTCATCCTTTACTAAATCACAGAGATCAGTTAGGATGAAAATACTGTTAGAATAATTAAATGGACAATGAGTTTTTTAAAGAGAAAAATCACATGTAAATGTAAAAACTGACTGTATAAGAGTCAGAGACATTATTTTTTATATTTATTTATGTTACACTCTACTTTGAAAAGGATTTAAAACAACTTTTATTCATAAGGTTTGAGATTTTATATTGATAAGAAAAGAAACAATACATACATGATTAAAGTTAAAACGATGAACTAGACTTCAATTTTGAATTATACTTACCAACTCTGAATTCTATACTCCTAACCTTGTGTTTATGTAGTCAGGCGACAAAGATCAAATGTTTAGTCTATGTTAGGATCTTGGTATAGATGCCAGAGAACACAAAGTCATTTCCCCCGTCATGCCAGCCAGGTTTCTCTCTCTCACATGCTGTGCCAGGTAGTGACCGCACTTAAAGATCCCTTCTGGTCTGCCCCCATCAACCACTGTTCTGTGGAATCCCTAATGAAACTCAGAATCTTATCTCTGGCCTTATATTCATCACTACCTTTTGGATTTTATTAGTGCCCAAAAACATATCTCTCCATTCTCTTTCACTCCATCTATCCTTATAAAAGGAGAGAAAGTTCTGGTTAAGTGGGAAAAAAATCTTTAACTTTTCCTTTAATTCCAAAATTATTAAATAACTACAGTGCCATGTGTTAGCAGCCAGGCTTGTAAAGTTTATTATAAAGACTGCTGAGATCCATAAGAATTTCTCACATGGCTTTAATTAATATGTCTGAGTAAATCCTTTTTCTCTAGCCCTAAACTTACTCTGCCTCCAGCTCCTTCTCAGTACTAAAGACTGCCATATCCCCTTTTTGTTATAAAAATATTACCCAAAATTCTAATCATGAATTTATTATTCTATGTAACCAAAAAGGCATATTTCTAATTTCTCCATATCAGAAGTACAGGTTATGAAAATTTCCAACTCCTAGGTTTGCAATCTTGTAGTTATTTCTTACTCTTCTCTTTTACTCCTCATTTCATATTGGTATCCATGTCCTGTCAATTCTTTTTGTTAACAGGAGATCTTACAACGGTCCCTCCTCTTTCATTCTCAGATACAGTTATGATCCATATTTGGAAGCATATACCTCATTCTAGATTCATACAAGATCCTTTTACCTTGTTTGTCAATCACAGTCATTCTCACTTCTAGTCTTGTCCTATATACAGGAGCAAAACCATTCCTGCTCAAATGGCATTTTCCAGATATCACTTCCCTGATGAAGAATCAGCTTGATCCCCTCTACTGGAGCATGGTGGTTAAAAGCATGGGCATTGGGCAGAAAGGCCCTGCTTAATCACTACCTGCCTATTCTTAGGTCAAGTGCTTAATCTCCTTAAACGTACTTCCTCGTCTGTAACATAGTGATGATAACTGCACTTACCTATCTTTACATGTGTTGTGAAGAATGAACGAATAGAGAACTTAAGAGTGCACACTAAGTTCCTGGAGAATGATGGCTATTGCTGTCTCCCCTTTAGACCAAGAGCTCCATGAGGGGTAGTGTTCACTCAGTGGGTAACTCATCCCATACTTCCTCGATAAGTACATTGGATATTTTTCATTCCTTCATTCATTAGTGCTCAATAAATGCTAACTGTTATTGTTATTATTTTACCAGACTACTTTGGGCAGCATTTGGAACTGTTTCCTTCTGGAAATATTGTCATCCATTGGCTTCTGGGACCCTACACTTCATTTATTTCACAAATAAATCAAGCATCTATCATGTATCAGGCACTGTGCTAGAGGTTAAGCAAATTGTGGGCAACAAAATAGAGGTTCTTGCCCTCGTGAAGTGGAAGACATAAATCAATAAAACTGAAAAATAAAATATAATTTTATACAGTGATAAAAATCATAAAGGAAAGTAATAAGAATTCATAGAGAAAAACAATAGAGGAGATCTAATTTTAATTGGGGGGGTCAACTGAGGCTTCTCTGAAGAAGTGATGTTTAAGCCATGACTTGAGAGATTAGTAGAATTAGGATGGTTTTCTCCTTACCTTATTCTCAGTACTTTTTGCCCAATTTGGGGGAGTTAGATTTCCTCGTGGTTCTCATGCCCTAGGCTTCTTTTTCCCTTGTACTAAACATTACTCTGGGGTGAGGTCACACAGGATGGTTTCAAAAAAATCTCTAAACCAATGACTCCTGAATCTCCATCTCTAGCCCAGATCTCCTGGTTCTCAGATCCATAATCCAACTCCTTACCAGACACCTCTATCAGGATGTCAAAGAGGCAGCTCAAATTCAAATTTCCAAAATGAACTGAACATCTCCTTACGCATTTTTTTCCCAGTTGGTACACCTGAGTCATTCTGGCCTCTTCTCTCAAACCCCACATGCACGCTAAACACCAGGATGTATCCATTTTTATTTCCTAAATATTTCCAAAATCCATCCCTTCCTCATATTCTCCTCTTATCACCTCTTGCTGGACTACTGAAGTAGCTCCTCAGATGGCCTCCCTGAGCCACCAGAGTAGGCTATCAAAAACGTAAGTCTCATCATGTCAATCTCTTGCTTAAAACTCTTCCCTAAATCCTCACTGCCCACAGGACAACATTCAACCCCCCAACATAATATACAAAGTTTGCATCAGCTCTCATCTACTGTGTGTCTATTATAGAATTTGGCAAATGGTGAATGAATGGCTAAATATTTGTCCAAATAAGTTTAGTCCAACCAATACAATCTATACATAAACAGACTATATATATAAATAAAATATACAACATATAGTCTCTATATATACATATAGATCATATATGTCAATTTTAGTTTCAACTCCAAGGAGAGACTTTAAAGATAAAATCTTGGTAACATCTCCATCTTCCCAGAAAAGGTAAACATTAAATCAGAAAACTTTAAATTGATCTCAATGTGAGTAGCCCAACTTAACAACAAACATTTATTGAGCTCTTACTATATGTCAGTCTCTGTTCTAGGTACTTGGGATACAACTGTGAATGAAATTTATAAAAACCACTGCCTTTGCTGAGTTTCATTCTGTTGTGAGGGAGAGCAGCAAAATTTTAAAGTAAATTATAGAGTATATTAGAAGATGACAAGGGATGTGGAGAAAAATAAGGTACAGAGGCTTAGGTGTGTGGAAGGAGAGGGACAGCAATTTTAAGTAAGGTAGTTAGGAAGGGCCTCACTGAGAAGATGAGATGTGAGCAAAGAGTTGAAGGAGGTGAGGGAGAGAGAGTGACAGGGAAGTGCTCCTGACAGGGGAAGGGCTGTAAAGCCTGAAGGCCAGAGTATAACTATGCTTTTTGAGAGAAATGAAAGAGATCAGTGGAGGAAGAACTGAAGAGTGAGGAGTAAGAAACGAAGCTGCATCAGGTAAGGACTTGAGTGAAGCCATTTTAACAACTTTAGTTTTACTCTGAGTGAATTAGGCAATAATTGGAGGGTTAAGACAGAAGAATGACAAGGTCTGATTTTTATTCTTAGACTTCCTCTAAGAAGAATGAATACTATCTTTCTCATCTCAGTAATTTGGTATCTAAATAAGTTTCCAGCTGCTAAATGTACATTTCTGTTTGGATATCCCACTGTCACCTCAAACCCAACATGTATAAAATATGATGGACTTTTAAGTTCCAGATCTCTATTAATGATAAATAAGTGAAATGAGCTGTATTATGGATTAATGTCATCATAGAAAAATATTTGTTAAGCCTTTTGTGGGGGGAGAGGAAGAATTTATATGATAAGGAAAATAATTACAATTTAAGATGGACAACCTCAATGCAAAGGTAAATACATCAAAACACAACCAAAAAAATGTTGAAAAACCCAATAATGGTTTTGACAGTACCCATTCTGAAACCCAAACACAGAACAAGATTAATCAGCTAAGTGGAGTATTATTATAATGAATAAGACTGCAACCTTCTTTTCCTATGGAAAGTCACAGAAACATAAATGAGGTTAACCAGGTACCACAGAAGTAAAGAAACCATTTAATTTTATTTTTACATAGAAGTAAAATACAGATATATTTCAAAATTTATTGAGACAAAAATGAAAGTATGCAATAAATTTATAATAATGAACTAGCATCAACTCTAAGTTTTTCAACCAAAAGTAGAAATAAAAGAGAAGAAAATGATGAACAGGAAAGAAAATGAAACATAAGACTTTAGAGTCTGTTAAAAATCCTAAAGAAAAGAGTTAGCTAACTCCTACTTCATGCTCAGTTTTACTTAGCTATTTTCTCTGCCTCCAAAGACGTTATCCATCTAAGAATTTACCCATCTGAATTCTACTTACTCTCAAAATACTCCTGGGTATATATTTCTTATGATAATGTGCTATAAAATTATAATTCTCTTGTCTCCTAGTTTGTGAACTGAAAGACAGTTACTAAATCTTTTTGCCATATATCCAATATGTGAAAATGATGCCTAAAATATACAGAAACTAAAATAGGTGATAAACTAAATGTAATTAAGCTATTTTACTAATACAACATTTAAAATTTTTAAAAACCATTTCAGATTTTTTAATAAATAAACATTTTCTGGAATCTTTCATAAAACTTTGGAATTCTTTCCTGTAACTGAGAAACTGAGCTTTCCTGAAATAACTGTTCCCTTGTTTTCAATGGAAAAAACAACAACAACAACTTTCTCAGTCTAGGGATTTGAGAACATTTCTTCTGATTTTGAAAAGGATAAAGAAATCTCCTACAGTATTTATAGTACTAAAGAGACACAAAGACATGCTGCTGCCACACAACTGTAAATATAAACAATATAATCTCACAGACTGGATAATTTTGAGCAACAAATAAATCTGGATTTAAAACAATATTCCTCATACTGTGCTACCTCAGACTGCTGGCTGGAGGCTGACATCTGCTAAATTTATCTGAAATTCTGGGGCTAAGGAGACATCAGACAACAATTCAACAGCAATTCAATACCTGGCCTACCAAAATAAGAGCCAACAGTAAGGAGCTATGAGAAAGTCACCAACAATTTGCTGATGATATGATTCTGGTATTAACTCCTTTCTATTTACAAAACACAATAAACAGTGGAATGCAAAACCTCTGATGAGTGAAAACTATTATAGCTGTTCTATTTGTGGAATGGCTTTATATTTGGCAGTAAGGGTACTTTAAACAAGGTTCATTAAGAAAAGAAATGTTGGTTTCAGGAAGCCAATTTGCATATCACCTTTTCACAAAAGAGGTAAGGTTTCTAAGTAAAGGTACCCTGTTGATTTAAAAAGAGTTGCTAGATTATACCCAAACAATCTCATGCAATCTCTAGAGAGCCATTTTAGGAACTAGAAACTACATCTACCTCCGTTTAAATGGATCAGACTAAACTAAATAGGTGGAGCTGAAGAAATAGGTCAGTGCTTTATATTTCAGGTAAATTATAAATTTCTACATAAGAAATCTGTCACAACTAGATTTAGCCGAGAACTGCATAATTTGAAAAATCAGTAACAATTAGTTAATAAACAACTCTAACAATGTACTGTAAAATGCTTAGCAGGCAATTAGCACAGAGAAGCACAGACATGATGAGAGGGGCACTCTGAGAGTTAAACTTCTCAAGCTGATAGTTGCTACATGGGAAAAAGCATGATAAATAAAGAGCTCCTGCACTGGGTAACTGCCAGAAAGAATGTTTCTCAAAATGGAATCCTTGGACTCCTAGAGTTCTCTAAAAATAAACTTTTCAATGATTTCTTTTCATTTCAATGTTGAAATCTTCCTCATGTGATAAGAAAGGATGGGGACTTCAGGGTTCCCACTGCCCTTTTTATTGTTGAATAATTTCCCACTGTTTGGATATACCACATTTTGTTTATTTAGTTATCAGCTGATGGCCATTTAGGTTTCTACACTGCTGGAGTTATTTATCAATACTACTGCTATGAACATTGATATGCAAATTTTTGTGCAAACATGTCTTCAATTATCTTTGGCATGAAACTACTAGGTCATTCTGTAACTTTCTTTAACTTTTTTGAGGGAACTGCCGAACTGTCTTCCATAGCGGCTGTACCATCTTAAATTCTCACCAGCAATGCACAAGTGATCCAATTTTTCCACATCCTCATCAAAAATTGTTATTTTCTGTTTTAAATTTTTATTTTAATTATAGCTATCCTAGTGGGTGTGAAATGGTATCTCACTACGGTTTTGACTTACATTTAATGACACTGAGCATCTTTTCATGTGCTTATTGGTCATTTGTATATCTCTTTGGAGAAATGTCTATTCAGGTCCTTTGCCCATTTAAAAAAGGGTTATTGTCTTTTTCTTGGTGAGCCATAAGAGTTTTTTATATTCATGTACTAGATCCCTATTAGATATATGATTTGTAACTATTCTCCCATTCTGTGGGTTAGCTTTTCACTTTCTTTATAGTGTCTTTTGAAGAGCAGAAGTTTGAAAATTTTGATGAAATCCGACTTATTAAACAGAGAAGTACAACATCTGGGCTTCCTTAAATATAGTTTCTACTGATTGTTTTTTTTTTTTCCTGTATATGAGCCATTGTTTTTTTTGTTGTTGTTGTTTCTTTGCATGCCTCCAATTTTTTTTGGTTAAAAAATAGAATTTTGAAGCTAATAACTATACAAGGATTTCCTTAAACATCTGGAAACAAAAATTCTCTCTGAACCCCGCAAAGCCAGGAACCAAAACTCAGATGGTAGTTATCCCTTGCCCAGAGAAAACTCTCTGCCCCATAAGCCTCTGCCATAAATGACCAGCCAATATCTTAACCATTAACCACTATGGCCAGGAATAAAAAGCAAAGGTAAGAAACAAATTCAAAGCAATGAGTTCTTTAAAAAATAGACATCATTTTATCTTATTTCATTGATTCTATAAAATGTCAGATGTTCCTTAAAGTGTTTTTGTAAAAGAAAATCCTGTAAAACTCTTTTAAATTTTTAATGCTAATAATAAAGATATTATCAACGATTTGGTAGCTTAACTTTTAAAAGTATGTAATGTTTGAAACAATGTATTTAACAAGTTTATGTTTACCACTAAAAATTATTCTACAGATCAAGAGACAATGCTTCCTTTCTTTGTATTATTTTTTCCTAAATGGAAAGAATAAGTTTGGAAAAGTATCAAAATATATTTTTTCTATTAGCAAATACAGAAAAAGAGGAAATCCAAATTAGTTTTAAATCCAATTACTTTAAATTTCTCATATTGAGTTTATTTAAAATTTAATTTTTTACGATAAACAATAAACACATATGCATTTGCCTTGTTAAAATACCTTGTTAAAATACTCTTATTGAGAAAAAATGATAAGCATATGAAACACATGTTAATGGCAGCTATCTTATTAAAACAATTTGGCAAAAATACCCTCAACATTTCCTTCTAAATCTATAAAGCTAAATGATTCCAGTTATCTTAAAATGACATTGGGTAATTGTAGACACTACATATGTCTTCCAAAATTTAGTTCTACGTTGTTTTAACTTGTGAAAAATATGCTGGTGTTTTTTAAAAAGAAAAATATTAATGTCAGTCTTCCTGTAGTCAGGCCCATTAATATGCATCCAATTAAAGGGTATGACAATGTAATAATATATACTGAGTGTTTCTGTATTTTATATGCATTATTTCACTGATTCCTCGCAACTGCCCTATGAAATGTGTATTACTATTACTACCACTTTACAGAATCATTGAGTTCAATAGTTTAACCTTACTTAAGAAAATATGGTCTGATGATGGTAAGAATGACGATGATGACAAAGTTATTATGTGCTAATCACTAACTTATATTATTTACTTATAAACCTAACTAACCCATTCACTCATAAAACATGAGGTAGGCATTATCATCATTATCATCCATTTTAGAGATGAGGAAACTGAGGCACAGAGAAGTTACTTCATCTGCCCAAGATCATAAGTGGCAGAGGCAGAAATCATTTTTAGGTAATTTGTTTCCAGAATCTGGCTATGCTTTAACTTCTTCTACGATCATTACAATATAAAAATAATTATTCCTTATAATATGTGATTCAATCTTAAGATGTAAATGTACTATTTCGTCAAAATCAAAAGTTCTGCCTTTACAAACCCTAATTTTTGTCCAAACATTTATAAATCTTGGATTCGAAGATTATATGTAGACATATGCACACTTACATAAAATTCCTTTCAGTAAGTTCCAAGTCATCTTTAGGAATGTATCTTCTGGAATTTTGGGCTCCTACCATTTAACAGACTTTCTTGAAAAAAATCTTTATAGGCTTTGTTCTACCAGACAAGATTCTGAGTAACAAAAACCATGAAATCTCCAAAGTCCCAAATCACAGTCTGTTTAGAAAGGAATAAAATGGAAACAGACAAGCTCAAAATGAGAGCCATTATAACAGCTGATCTATACTTTTTCAAAATGTCAATGTCACAGAAGACAAAGACAAGTTGAGAAACTATTCCAGGTAAAAGGAACCAAAGAGATGTGACAATTATGCAATGTGTGATTCTGGATCAGACAGCTGGTAAAATTTTAATATGAACTATATATTTGAAAATTGGGAGGAGGGTATAGCCCAAGTGGTAGAGCACATGCTTAGCATGCACAAGGTCCCAGGTTCAATCCCCAGTACCTACATTAAAAAATAATAATAAGTAAATAAACAAACCTAATTACCTCTTCCTCCAAAAAACAGAAAGAAAGAAAGAAAGAAAGAAAGAAAGAAAGAAAGAAAGAAAGAAAGAAAGAAAGAAAGAAAGGAAGAAAGGAAGGAAGAAAAGAAAGAAAAAAAGAAAGAAAATGAAAGAAAGAAAGAAAGAAAGAAAGAAAGAAAATGTTGTTCCCTGAATTTCATTATTATATTGTGGTTCAGTAGGAAACACACAGTGAATATTTAGGAGTAAAAGATCATTAATGTCTGTAATTTATTCTCTGATGATTCATCATCACCATCATCATCATAATGGTTATTAAGGAGGAGGGGCAGGAGAAGTACTAGTAAATATATATACAGAAAAAGCAAATATAACAAAATGTTTACAATTGGGGAAACTGGGCAATGAGCACACAGGTGTGCAGCCTACCAATCTTGTAACTACTTGGTATGTTTAAAGCTGTTTTTAATAAATGTTAAGAGGAATAGAAAAGACACCCAACCCATAGTTCAACCACTAGATTATTCTATTTTCTCTCCCTTTCTCTTTCATAAAGTCAAGGTATGAGCATTTCCTTCTAAAAACTCTTAAAGAGAGGGCCCTCCAAAATGATTAAAGTTTCTCTTAATTGTAATACATCCTACTCTGCAAAACGTTTTTCTTAATAATGAGGATGCTTATAAACTCATTTCTCTCTCTTATTGAGAATCAAGTCTGATTTCAAACAACAGAATACATAAGTTAATAAATACAATGTATCACCAGTTAATAAAAGCCAGAAATCTGGAGTATGTTTGTTTCAGAAACCAATGAAATTTTAAAGAGATTTAATGGTGGTAGGATTAAATGAGTATCTTCTTAAATCATGCTGCACCTCCAGTCCTTGGTTTAAAAAACTCTCTGCCAGTTGACAGTCTTGTCTCCATCTCCCAAATTCATTATTTACTCCAAACATAGGCACTGCTTCTCAGCCAATCAAATTCAATTGCATTTAACTTCTATGACTGCTAAACCCCACCCTCCAAATCAACAGCTATCACTCTCTAGGGTGACAACCTCTTAATCTCGGTAGTGTTTATACAAATACATTCAGTACATGATAACTCAAGAGTTGTACCCTTAAAATTTATGATTTATATCTATATATGTTATAATTCAATTTAAAAGTCTATTATTGAAAAAAAAAACAACTTCCTGCTGGAAGTCTTCCCTTTATTGGTTTATTGGTTTCTAATTTTACTCTTCAACTTTTTACCTACCATCTTGGCTTGGTGCATGTTTATTTTTCTCATTATAGGCTGATAAGACCATTCATCTTCATGGATACACTAGTTCTATTCTTTCAGTTAGCTTACAAACTCTTGGAAAACAACAATTGTAAAAATGCCCCAAAATACAAAATCTAGATAGATAGATAGATGATAGATGATAGATAGATAGAGATATAGGTTTAATGACTGGATTATATTAGAAATGTATAGACCAAATCTGGGGATGGTTCAGTAGTTTTTCTGCTGCCATTTTAATTCAGTAAGGACTTGAATTGTAAGTCTCATTGTAAGATACTGATCTGAAGCCTATATTAGTTTCAGTGTGTATTAACATAATTTACAAAGAAGTTTTCTAATATTTCATTTAGGAATGTCAGCACATATTTTATAATAACCTTGAAGCTTTTCAGATCAAACACATATTTCCATATAAAATAAGAGTCAATAGGTAGTCATTTTCACACCATATTTTTGTAGAAACAAAGCTCTTTAAAAACAGAGCTTTAATTCCTACCTGGGAGACTTCTTTGTTCATAATGAGTCTTCAAAACAGATATGGTCAAATCTAGTGCTCCAGAGGGTAGCTTCCAGGGGTATGGGGTAATGCTGTTTTCCAGAGATGGCTCTAGTCTCTTCACTCTTACCTCATTTAAGGCCAATTATGCAAACAACTAAAAAAAAGGAGAAGAAAAAAAATAAAAGCAGAAGGGAGGTTAGACTGCTATTTTATTTTCAAAGAAATGATAATACAACTTCTCAGGCCAAATGGAAAAATATTTCCAAAAGATGATGGATGACTATCTGATTTTACAACTGAAGTCCTTTTGGTGATTAAATATATATTCCTATTTAAAACTGCTGCTTAGGTAATACATAATTACATTCTGCCCTTAATTTCCTGAAGGCCTATTTATATGTCTTAAAAAGTTTTTTTCTGGCTATATTTGTATATTTATCTTTCTACTTATAAATTCAGATTTTTCATGTTTTCAGTTTACATTTAATTCTTTCTTTCATTTCTATAATATTTCTCACTAAGTATTAAAGTTACTATGGTATTTTATTTTTAAATTTTTTACTGAAAAGGTTTACAAACATTATATATTCATAGTACTTAAAATTCACTGAGCTCTGGTTCTACTAAAGATGAGATAACTTGTATTGGACTAACTTGCCCAAAAATGACAATTATTAACTCTGGACAGAACATTAAAAAATAACTGTTCAAAGATGCTGAAAAGTGACCAAAAGCAGGCAGAAATGTAGGGGATTTGATCACTGAAAGAAAGGAATCATACTGGATGAGAACTACACTCATAAGACTTTCCCTTAAAAGAACTCTTCCCAATATACCCCGCAAGTACTGGAGGAATAGAATAGACGTGAGAGAAAACCACTGTCTCATTGGCCTGAGGCAATAGAGAATGTGGTTCAGAGTTGAAAGAAAGCTAGATAATAGGAGAAGATCATGCAGAGAAGGGCAGTACAGTAAGGGGGTGGGAAATCTTAACTCTGTATACAAATGTTCCATAAATCCTTGGTCGATTCCTGAACCGCTCAGGCACAGGAAGACTCCAAGTAGCCCCATATAATCATACCACAACTGAGATTCCCCTTTGCTGTTTATAACCATGCACTTCTCATTCCTCTTTTCTTAACTGCTAGCAACCACTTATCTGTTTTCTATTTCTATAATTTTGTCACTTTGAGAATGTTATAAAAATTGAATCAAATAGTATGGAAACATTTTGGATTGGCTTTTTTTCACTCAGCATAATGCCCCTGAGAGCAATCCAATTTGTTGCATATATAAATAGTTTGTTCCTTTTTATTGCTTCATGGTTTAAAGATACCACAGTTTCTTTTCACTATTCACCATTCTAGTACATTTGGGTTGTTTTCAGTTTGGGGCTATTATGAAGAAAGCTGCTATGAATATTTGTGTATAGGCTTTTGTGTAAATGTAAGTTTACATTTCCCTAGAATAAATACCCAGAAATGCAATTAGGTTGTACAGTAAATGTGTATTTATCAGCTAATAATTTAGCTGTCTACTAGAACAAAAATCAATACTCTTCAGAAAAAGAAAACATCCACAATATCCAATATACAATAAAAAAATTACTAAACATTCAAGGAAGCTAGAAATTGTAACTCAAGATCGGGGAAAAAAAGCTCAACAGAAACCTACTATAAAATGATCAGTTGAAATAAACTGATATGAATGCTAAAGAATTACTGTAAGTATGTTCAATATGTTGTAATGAGTGAACAGATATGAAATACTGGTAGCAAATGAAAATTATAAAATAGAAATAAATGGAAATTCAAGAACTAGATAGTTCAACATCAAAATTTTTAAGTTCACTGGATAGGTTTAATAGATTTGAGATAGCACAAAAAGTCAGTGAACTTGAAGGCAAAACGATACCCAATAAAATGATTGAACAACTGAAAAAAATTAAAACCAAAGTTGTTGTGTTTTTTTTTAAAGGCTAAAAAATTGTTAATATTTGAGCAAGACTGATCAAGAAAAATGAAAGGCAACACAAATTACCAATGTCAGAAACAGGAGAGAGATCACTTCAGGTCCTGCAGATGTAATGTACTAAACCACATAATGCAAATCAAAATTGAGTAACTGAGATAAAATAAAAAACTCCTTGAAAAACACAAATTACTAAAACAACCACAAAAAGGATGTTATTTACTAAAAAAAAATTTGTAATTAAAACAAAACAAACTCCAGGCCCAGATGGCTTCACTGGTGGGTTCTATGAAAATTTAAGGAAGCAATAGTAACAATTTTACACACTTTCTAGAAAATAAGAGAGAGCTACATCGCAACAGGTAAGCAAAACCCTAATACCAAACCTGACAAAGATATTACCAGAAAAGAAAATCAGCCTTATGAGTACTGATGGAAAATAGCAAATTTAATCCAGCAATATATAAGAAGGATAATATACCATGACAAGTGTGGTTTATCCAAGGAATATGTAAGGATGGTTTAAATTTCAAATATCAATCAATGTAATTTACCATATTAACAGAATAAAAGGCATATAAACATCTCAACGGGTACAGAAAAACACCTGAAAAATTCAAGACCCATTCACGGTGAAATTCTCAGCAAGCAAAGAACTAGAACGTAACTCCTTTAATCTGATAAGAAAGATCAATGAAAAACCTACAGCTAGTATTTTACATAATGGTGAAATACTAGGAGTTCTCCTAATATTGGAAGCAAGGCAAGAATATTCACTCTAACCACTTCTATTAATTACTGTAATGGATATACTGGAGGTCTCAGTGCAATAAGAAAAAGAAATAAAAGGAAGGTTAGAAAAGAAGAACTAAAATTGTCTTTATTCAATTAAAATAACTTTTTAGCACATAATTCTAAGGAATCTGAAAAATGATTACTAGAATGAATAAGTAATTTGACAAAGTTGTAGGACACAGGGAAGTATACAAAAATCAATTGTGTTTCCATACAACCACAGGAAACAACTGGGAAACAAAATGTAAAACAATTTATAATTGCATCAAAAAACACAAAATACTTAAGAATTAGTTTAACAAAAGATATGCAAGACCTATACACTTAAAATTATAAAATATTCCTGAAATTAAAAAACATTAAAAAAAAGTGGTTGAATATTTTCATGGGTTCACCAAGCCTCAATAATATTGACGTCAATTTTCCCCCAAAATAATTCATATACTCAAAAATAAAATTAATGGTTTATTTTATGAATATTTAGTATATTTTATGGTCAGTGGATAACAAATCTATTTCTGTTTTGTTTTACAATATATTTTTAATGTGGGATTTTTTTTCAATGCTTGTTTTGGGCTTTTGCTTTTTAAAATAAAGATTACATTTTTCCCCTCTAAATCATAATTTCCCTCAGTGCTGAATTCCATATTAAAGTGGAATGCTGAATGTTAGAAAACTGAATGATGATCCAAAAGTGCTTACCTCTCATAGCCCCTCTAAATTAAACTAAGAGCTTTTTATATTTTCAAGATTTTTTTCTTTCCTTGAATTAAATCTATAATTCAAAAACTCAAAGAAATGGACTAGCTCTTCATATTGACTTATAGTTTAAATTATTAAAGAAAGGGATTTGTAGTTAGGTTACTCCAATTTACATTATAGTTAGTTGGATTGTTCTCACTGTGTATGTCTAGTTTATTTGTATTTGTTATCAACTTAGTGCCCCAAAACATTTTGCAGTGAATGAGATTCCTCCTGATCACTACTTTGTGTTCTTTCATCTGTAAGGCACTGTATCTTTGAATTTGCCCTGGGTAAATCTTTAAGAATTTGTAAGAACTGGTAAGCAATCACTGACTATGGCAAAGACGGCATTGTTCATGTAGTCATCCACAAACCCAGCTTCTGTCATTTTCTGACTTCCAAGGAAGAGCGCTCCTCAAAGATCATTTGCGTAGTTAATCCTGCAGATATAATCTTTTCAAATAATTCCATTCTCTTCCATAAAACCTGAGAGTTTTTAAGGGTACTTTTTCAAAACCAGGCAGTAACTAAAGCCAGATGGATCCTGCTAATGATTTTGGGTCCTGATGATTCATGGCCAACATGTGAGGGAATATAGGAACAAAGCTGAGTTGGGTGGCTGAGCACAGTCACTTAGCGACTGCAAGAAAGAAAAGCACAAGATAAATCTATATTCAAAAAAGATATGCAGACAATGAAAAGTGAAAAATATGGAAACCAAGAGATAGGTGACACACAGAGAACCAAAGAAGGCAGGAGGAATACAACGGAATAGGGAGAAAAAGAGCAGTGCTGATGATCTGATGTTTGCTATTATGAGATAAATAAGCTTATTATTCTTAAAATGTATCTCTCCAGTAATTATTATGTATTATCTGTGCTATCCAGAGTTCAGAATTTTAAAAGTCTTTCCTCACTCCCTTACCCCCAGGAACCCAGAGCAGGAGATCTGACACGGATGTTGCAAACTCCTAATAGATCCCCATGCCTGGTGGTTTCCCATTACTTGTTCCAATTCTCCCCTCATGCGTAAGGCCTTTCTATTTTCATCATCTGCTTCCAATTCTGGCACAAGTGCTGGCTAATGCTGCACCTCAATTCCTTTAATTTAATTTAATAATTTAGTAAATTATTCAATTTAATCTCTTAAATTCAATCTAAGAGTCAGATGAGGAAACAAGGTGACAGAAGAGTACCTATAATGCACCTAATACATAGAAAGAGTGAAAAAGGAAATCTATAAAACACTCCTTCTTATTTTGGAGTTAGGCAGAGTTATAGTGTCAGAATTTTAAAACATATAGAGAAATAAAACAAAGAAATATCTATGGATCTACTACCCAGAATTAACAACAGTAAACATTTTTGATATATTTATTTTCTTTTTTAAGAAATGAAGCATTATCAATAAATCAAAAGCCCCCACACTCACACATAGCCCACTCTGTTCACTCCCTCTCATTTTGATAGAGATAACCATCATCATGAATCTAGTATATATCCTTCTGGTCAATTTTTCATATCCATCCATAAACAATATACATTAATGTTTCATGCTTTAAAACATGTATGTTTAAACTGTATACTATACCCATTCTGCATTTTGCTGACTTCATGCATTGTGTTGTTCTGGAGCTCTAGCCTTGCTGAGGTGTGTGTGGGTTTCAGTCATATGTATATGTGAACATACCACATCTTAGGCATTCCTGTATGTAAGTTGTCTATAAATTTTCATCATTACAAATTATGCCTCAATGAGTGTTCTTATAAATGGCTTCTCATTCAAATTTTCATATGTACAAGCGTAAGAATTTCTAAAGGCAATATCCAGAAGTGGAATTTCTTTTCTTTATTCTTTCTTTTTTTGTTTTTGAGACATCAACGGCACTGGGTAGGGCAGAAATGGAATTTCTGAGTGGTAGCACTTGCGTATCTTCCACTCTACTCACCATTTGTCAAACTGATTGCCAAAATGATTGTTTCACGCTCCCACTAGCAGTATGTAAGAGAATCATTTCCCCCCTATATTCTTTCCAACACTTGATATCATCAGACTTTTTTTTTAACCCATCTAATGGACGAAAATAGAATCTCATTTCAATTTGCATTTCCCTGAATATTATAGAGACTGAATAACATAGTTGGCTATTTGGATATCCTATTATTTGGACTGGCGTTCTCTTTTCATCCATTATACTGGGTATTCAATACATACTTTGTCTTAGTTCTGGAAATTTTTCTCAGATTATACTATTTATTCTCCTCCCCCCTTCATTTATTCTGTTTTCTCCTTTTGGAACGCCTAGTACTAGAAAGCTGACCTTCCTAGACCCTCCTTTTTCTTTTCTTTTATCTTCTGTTTATCGTTTCTTTGCCTTTCTGCTTTACTTCCTAAAAAAATTTCAACTTATTATTCAAACTTCTATTGAGTTTTTTTTTCCTGCTACACATGCTTAATTTATAAGAATTCTTCATTCTCTGAATATCCTTTTAAAAAACCCTATTTCTGCTTTATGGATTAGCATCCCATTTTTCTGCCAGTATTTTACACACAAATGACATAGATTTATATGTGTGTATATGTGTATATGATATATGTATATTTGTATATGGCTGGATGTGTACATATATGTGTGTGTGTAAATATACACAAAAATTTCTCAGCTGCATAGCCTATTTCCTCCAAGTTGTTTGTATTTTCGTTTCTGCTAGTCACAGGAGATGCTTTCCTTAGATGCCTGATAGTATTTAGTTGTTTGAGTATAAAAAGTTTATTGAAAGCTCTAATCATGTACATGGGGCTCCTGTGACCTTCCTGTAGGACACTCTGGCCAGACCCTTTGTTAGGACGCAGATACTAATGTGAGACACCTGGCTCCCATCATCTACCACTTATTTACTCATTTGGTCAGTACCTGTATACATGTAAAGTAGTTTCAGAACTGTTAACCTGTACCCCTACAAGAAACAATTTTACCAACTAGACCACAGTTCTTTCTGCCTTTAGATTTTTCTTCTTGGGTTGGTCACATTCTTCACAGAAGATTCTTCCTGTCTCCTGCCTGGAGGATAAAGGACTCAGTTTGGGAAGCCAATAATGGAGAAGAGAGCAAGGGCTCTCAGCATTCAAAATGCTAGTGCTCATCTAATTCCCGTCCACCTTCAATGTGCCTGGTGTCCACTAGTCCAGAGGCCCTTTGTGTTAACTTAGAGAATATATTTCAAGTCTCCCATCTGTCAAGATGGGACTAGCGCATTAGCACAGTAGCCAAGAGTAGATGAGACCCATGCATCTGTTTCTTTGCTTTTAAACAATCCTCCTTATTTTAGTCCCTGTTCCTTCTTCACCTCCACTTTCAGAGTTACACAATGCAACCACTGCCTGGGCCCTTTGAAGAATCATTAGTACAAATTCAACTGGTCCTTAGCTTTCTCCACTTAAAATAAAGCTTTCTTAGGTTTAATAAGATTGTTACCATTATTCTAACTGTTTTCCAGCCTCTAAAATTTTGCTGTATTTTCTCCCATTTCTCTGTATCTCTTGTTTTATGACTAAACAACAACAACCCTCAATGACTTCATTTTTGTAGTTGTTTAACTAAACTATAGTTTCAGGAGGAAACAATATTAAATGTGTGCTCAATCTACCATTTTTACCTCGAATCAAATACTGTGTTATTATTTGTAATATTTATTTGTTTATTTTTAATCTTCCTGTTATTTTATAATCTTTTTAAGGTTTTAAGTATGTTATTAACACCATAATCTTTTTGAGAATTTTAAAATTCACCACTTTGAAATTCTCAAGAATCAATTAGCAATTGAAATTACTCAAATACATGAAGAATTATCTGCCAGAAACAGAATTAACCATTGGCAGCAAAGCCTACGCAACAGTTTATCAGGGAAGTTTAGAAAAAGGATTAGCTTTAGAGCAATGGAATGACTCTCCATACATATACTGGTAGTCAATACTAAGGATCATGACTTTGGGAAAGCAGAAAAAAGAAATGCACCTTCCATTATCCCATAAGGTAACAGACACTGAGTGTCAAAAGAAGGTATGGTCTACTGTTCTCTTCTCTGAAGGAAGTAAAAGGAACTCTCAAACTTCTAAGGGTAATAGATTTTCTCACCCATGTTCATTAACTGTAAAGTGTGATGAAAGTAACTTGTTACTAGTAACACTTTAAATTACAACATTTATACATTAATTTCTTTAATAACATTGGTGCAGCTTGAAGGTTATCTTTATTGTAAAGTGACCTTAACTTTTCCTTTTTATGATATACTTTTTGATGAGGAGAAAAACGGATAATGTTAGCCAAAACTCCCAGTGTGCTGGGACTAGTGTCTTAGTTTAGCTAGGCTGTCATCCAGTATTAGGTCCTTATAAATAACCAACATTAGTAGCAATTATAAATTATTTTGGTCATGTAGAGTTAAGATTCCATAGTAACTTCTGCATTCTTATTATTTCTACCCCAAATAAACTTCAAGAGAGAAAAAAAAGCACCTAAAAATTATGTGAAGAAATAAGTTTTTTCCTTGGGGTAGACTGAAAGATTTTCGTGAAAGAATGAAGAAAAAAATGATGCAACTATCTTTCTTATTAGTGATGATACAAGAGTTACACACTCCAAATCCAAGACAAACATGATTTAGGTAAAATTTGAAATCAGGCCATCCATATTAATGTTAAAAAAAACATAATTTAAAAATACATATAAAGCTTATTTTTTTGAATTCTCCTAGTAAGAACTTGCTTCTTCTTATTAACACTATCTGTAAAGAGAAGATACAGGGAAAAATTAAAATTTTGAAAATAAGATTGTTTATTTGTTTTTTTTGTTTGTTTGTTTTTTAACATTTTTTATTGATTTATAATCATTTTACAATGTTGTGTCAAATTCCAGTGTTCAGCACAATTTTTCAGTCATTCATGGACATATACACACTCATTGTCACATTTTTTTCTCTGTGATTTATCATAACATTTTGTGTATATTTCCCTGTGCTATACAGTGTAATCTTGTTTATCTATTCTACAATTTTGAAATCCCAGTCTATCCCTTCCCACTCTCTACCCCCCTGGTAACCACAAGTCTGTATTCTCTGTCCATGAGTCTATTTCTGTCCTGTATTTATGCTTTGTTTTTGTTTGTTTGTTTGTTTTTGTTTTTGTTTTTTAGATTCCACATATGAGCGATCTCATATGGTACTGATTTTATTGTTCTTAAGATTACAAAATGCTCTTATGAAAACTTTACAATCTCTCTCCAGAAAAAAACTTAATTTCTTCACACAATTTTGGGGTGTCTTAAAAACCTAGGTAAATCCATGGGTGTTGTTAGAAGACAAAATTGTATTATGTTGGGAAGATATGAAAACTGTTCCTCTGTGGTGAGAACAAGAGCTCCAAGGGAAGTGTTCTGGGACACAAATCTTGGCAAGTGGCAAAAATTCTACCTTGAATCAGCACTAAAGAGAACCATGACCCCAAGGAAATTCTTCATGCACATGTGCAACAAGAGATATGAAGAAAAATGTTCATGCAATATTTATAAGAGCAAAAACCAGGAACAACCCAATGCCCATCAATAAAAGCATGAATTAGTAAACTTTAGTATATTGATACAATAAAATTTCACACCACTGAAATAAATTAACTGAGCTTTAGCTACACACATATGCCTACAGGCAACCATATCCCCTTCCTACAACCGAGGTAGTAAAGCATTATAGTTTAAAGTATGGACTCTGTTGAAAACAGGGTAACCACAAATCAAAAGCATACAATAGAGTCACAAAGACCAAAAAGAAAACAACCTAATACAAAATAAAGTTATCAAACCACAAAAAGAAAAAAAGAACGAAAGGAACAAAGAAGAAACACCAAATCGACTGAAAAACAAAGTTTAAAATGGCAATAAACACACAGTTACCAATAATTACCATAGATGTCAATGGACTAAATGCACCAATCAAAAGACAGAGTGGCAGACTGGATAATAAAACAAGAGCCTACAATATGCTGCCTACAAGAGACCCACTTTAGGGTGAAGGATACACAGAGACTGAAAGTGAGAGAATGGAAAAAATATTTCAGACAAATGGAAATGACAAGAAGCAGAAGTAGCAATACTCATATTAGACAAAACAGACTTTAAAACAAAGACCATAAAGAAAGACATAGAAGGACACTATATATGATAAGAATAACAATACAAGAAGAGGATATTATACTTAACATACATGCACCTAAATATATAAAACAAATACTAACAGACATAAAGGGAGAAATTAATGGGAACACAATAATAGTAGGAGACTTTAACACTCCACTAACACCAGTGGATATCTTCCAGACAGAAAAATCAGTAAGACAACAGAGACACTAAATGACACAATAGAACAGCTGGACTTAGCTGATATTTTTAGGACATTACATGCCCCCCGCAACCAGAATATATATTCTTTTCAAGTGCGAATGGAACATTCTTGAGGATAGACCACATGCTCAGGCACAAAAGCAGCCTCAACAAATTCAAGAGGATAGAAATTATTTCAAGCATCTTTTCTGACCACAATGGCATGAAATTGGAAATCAATCACAGGGGGAAAAAATGAGAAAAAAATGACTGCATGGAGACTAAATAACATGCTACTAAAGTATGGACTCTGGAGCCCAACTGCACCATCACTAACTTTCTGACGTTAACCTTTCCATGAATCAGTTTCCACATCATAAAAAAGCAGGATAATACTTGTACCTACTCTAGAGTTGTTAGGAGACTAAACATTTAATATTTTTAAGTCATTTAAAACAGTACCTGGCACATGGCAAACACCATGAAGTGTTTGATTAATAAACAGACCACAGTCAACCAAGTTTAATATCTCTTCTACTTGGCAGCCACCCTTCCAATACATGATGGTAGCCAGCATGTTTTCCCTTAGTTTTTGCCACACTTAAGTATCATATAGTTCTTTAATTATTTGTTTCAGTAATATATATCTAGGAAATTTTACGTACTTTCACACGGCTTTTATTTTTAATTCTCATTCTGCTTCTAGGGAGATATTAATACTTAAATTCTACATTTTAAAGAAAATAAATTTTTTTAAAGTACAGTAAGAAGCCAATCCAGAATACTATTGTATCTTAATTTCTATTTCTTGCTCCTCTTTTTTTTTAAAGGGCAGATTATAGCCTTAGAAGCAAAACTGTTCATAGCAGCACTGTTTACAATAGCCAGGACATGGAAACAATCTAAATGTCCATCAACAGATGACTAGATAAAGAAGATGTGGTATATTTATACAATGGAATACTATTCAGCTATAAAAACCTACAACATAACACCATTTGCAACAACATGGATGTTCCTGGAGAATGTCATTCTAAGTGAAGTAAGCCAGAAAGAGAAAGAAAAATAATATATGAGATTGCTCATATGTGGAATCTAAAAAAAAAAAACAAACAACAACAAAAAAAACAAACATAAATACAAAACAGAAACAGACTCATAGACATAGAATATAAACTTGTGGTTGCCAAGGGGGCGGGGGGTGGGAAGGGACAGAGTGGGATTTCAAAATGTAGAAAAGATTAACAAGATTATAGTGTATAGCACAGGGAAATATATACAAGATCTTGTGGTAGCTCACAGCGAAAAAAAAGTGACAATGAATATATGCATGTTCATGTATAACTGAAAAATTGTGCTCTACACTGGAATTTGACACAACATTGTAAAATGACTATAACTCAATAAAAAAAGTTTATAAAAACCCAAAACTGCCTGCATATCAACTACTAAATCTAAAATATTAATGACTCTTACATCCATCTTTACATTTACATTAAAGAGATAAATTCTGAAAAGCCTAGACTAGTGGATTTCAATACTACTAACTCTGTATATACTATAAACACATCTATTTTGGAGACAAGTTATTCTCAAGAGAATGCTCCTAGTGTTTTTTGCTATATTCTAAGCTTCACACCTGCAAGCATCTGCCTACTTATTAAGGAGTTCCAAACTAAACTCCTCCATTTTCCTTTTCCTTGATTCTTCCCTATTTAAAAAAAAAAAAAAGCATCTTCACACCAACCCAATTGTTGCTACTAGAAAGAAACCCAGATATCACCCTTAAATTATTTTCCACTTCACATCATATAAACACTCAATCACCAAGCCCCATCTAGTTTATTTCAAAAATAAATCATCAGTCCACAGGCATACAAATCCAATACCCTATTCCCGCTTACCATTCTTCCATGAGGTTTTACCTCACAACAGAACCCCAAACTTACAACATAGCCACTCTCTCCATTGTACACACTATGCTTTAGCCACACTGGTCTGTCCTCAGTTCCTCTCTACACCCCAGTCTTTTTTCCCTACTCCAAACCCTTCATTACAATATATTCTCTGCTGTGAATAATCCCTCTTATCTTCTTCACATGCTCAATTCCCACTCACTATTCAAGTCTCAGCTAAAATCCTACTTCTGTTACTCCACTAATCAAAATTAGCCCTCCAATACACTTTCATAGCACTTTCTTTTCCTTCTTAGCATTTTTCATAATTTTTATTCACATGCTTGTTTGTGTGATTATATGTTTACAGCTTATCTCCCTCCCTAGACAATAAGCCCCCAAGAGAGATGTTTTTTCACTGGCATAGAGTAGGTACACAACATTTTAAAATGTTAATTTGTGGAATTAGTGAACCTGTTCTAATTCAACAATGGTAGTACAGTTACACACTCAAGGAGAATGAGGATCATTAAACTGGTCAAAGGACATTACAAATCTTTCTAAACAAACCCAAGGGGAGTATCAGTGGCATTGAGGTGGGCATACTAGATTATTAATGTAAGGGATTAGGCAAAGTTTTGGAGGTGACAACACAGAGAGAAAAAAAGCTTAAAGCAGTAAGACTATGGGATTAGTCTCTACTAATTAGAATGCCCATTTCTGTGACTTCATTCTGTAATGTAATTTACCTCTCTGTTTTTTGCCACAAGACAAAACACCAGGGTCCACATTCAAAGGACTAAAAATGAAATGTAACACCTAAACTACAAGAGTTTAGTTCTTTTCTAAAGAGCTCTACTAAACTAAAAGGCAGTTGTTGAGGACTATCAAAAGTAAAATGAAAGAATAAAGAAACATAGAAGTAAACAAGACTTGTCTAAGGGCACACACAGACTTTGTATAAGAGCCAGGACTGGCATCCTTGCCTTCTAATTTCTAATGAAATGTTCTTTTTAAAATTATAAACAACTATACTGAGGTATAATTGAACACTAAATCATATATGTTTAAAGTGTACAAGTTGATCCACTTCGACGTATGTATTCAGCTGTGAAACTGAAACCATCACCACAATAAAGATAAGTATTTTCACTGCCCTAAAAACAAACAAACAAACAAAACAACAACCAACTAAGGTAGTATTCTAAATCTCCAAAAATTACTGCAGAATGCTCAGATAGGATTTTAGAAGTTGGCATTTTACTAAGGCCTAAAATAAAGCAAAGGTTAGACCATTTTCAATACCAGTTAAAACTGCAATATACATCATCAGATGAGTGTTTGCAAAACATATTTTTCTATGTGCAGGCTCTATTTGCTCCATATCTGTCAAATGACAAAGACGGTCTTACTGCCTCTTCATACCTCTCAAGGGCAGCAAAGAATAGATACTAAAGTTAACTGATAAAACTATTTGTATCTAGATATTTCCATTTCTTTTTATGATATTTCTAAATTATATTTTACCTTTTAAAATAGAGAACTGAGCAGCATATGTGCTTAAAGGTTTTAACAAGTACTTTCATTTTTTAATACAAAATTATAATCATGCTAATTTGTGACTACATTTAACTAGAACCTTCCATATACTGATATGACATATCTTGGGGGGGAGGTGGGGTACAGACAATAACCAGAGGCCTATCCTTATGACTTAAAAAACAGGTAATACATTAGCAAGGTATTTTTAAGTCAAATAATAAAATATTTTCTTCTTATTTCTTTTACTCAGTACACATCATTTCTTTTATAACAGAGTCACTCAATCCTCAAATATTTGAGAGCCCAATATGCGGTAAACACTGAACAAGGTGCTGGGGTACAGCACTGAACAAGAGAGATGAAGTTCTTGATCTTTGAAGCTCATATTCAAATGGCAGGGGAAGATCAGTAAATAAAGCCAGAAAACTTGAGGTAGAGTTACTAGGGGAGCTAGCTACTTTAGATTAAGTGATTAAGGAGAGTTTATACATGAGGGTAACATCTGAGCTGAGACTACAAATTAAAAAAACTAAATCCCCAAATTATTTCAGAAATGAATGATTTCATAGTATGTGTATAATAAAAACTTAGCAGAAAGAACATCTTACCCTCTTTCACTAATTGTGAACCTTTCATTATTACCTATATGATGCCTATATTTGTATATCCGGTCATCCAAACACCCAAAATTAAATGAGCTAAAAATAAAATGTTCATCACTATCCCTCAAAGTCACTACTAAGTACACTGCTATCACTAGCAATCACACTACTATTTTCCCAGTTATTTAGTTTCTTAGAACTGTTTAACTCCGCTCTTCTTGCATTTCCTAATATTCACTTCAATAATAACTACTGTTAATTCTTTCTCCTTCTTGTCTATCAAACCTGTAACTGGTTCAGTTTTTCAAAATCATCATTACACTCGACACTGTTAGCAATCCAAGTCTGAGGTACTTCAGCAGCATGTATAACCTCTACTCCTGGTCTGCCCATACAGTGCATCCTGCTAAACAATTTCCCACCTCCCCCTGTTCAAAATGTCACACCCCTAGTCACCACTCAACAGTGCCTTTCCATAGTTTCCATAAAGAATTTGCACTCCTGTTACCTAGCATTCAAGGTCTCCTATTTTCACAGTCACTAACAACAGAGCTTAAAGATAGAAGTGACAACTAAATGGAGAAAAACAGATACACATTACAGTTGGAGAGTTTAACACTCCTCTCTCAGCAACTGATAGAAGAAACAAAGTCCCTCTGAAAAGAAAATCAATATTTAGAAAATGTGAACAATACTATCAGCCACCTTGACCTAATAATTGACATTTTTAGAAAACTATGCCCCCAAACATATTTTTCAAGTGCATGTAGTACTTTCACTAAGAGAGGCTGTCTGCTGATAAGTCAAAATAAATTTTAAAAGACTAAGCATCAGAAT